GAATCGACCGGACGAAGTACTTCTCGTTCGTCCGCGAACGAATCTTTCAATACCTATGTATTCTCTGAAGTAAAGGCCTTGTCAAAATCATGCGTTTAATAATTCAAATTCTTTCGCCATAGAAACTACAATAGGAATTTTTCCAGACCGGCACTTTCTCGTAACGCACGATACACGTGGCCCTTCCATTTTTCTCGACATTCTCAGCTCTAAGACTGCAAGCAATGCGCTCGTAAAAATTCGGTCGGAAGCTCCCTAAAGAATTCTTTAATCTCGCTCTGTTCGAGTGACGCACTTCTACATTTGTGGGCGTGGAAAGCCTTCGAGAGAGCTTTGAGAATTTAAGTTCTATATCCCATAAAATTTTCGCTCTATAGCTCTGCAGTTCTTTCATTCTCTACGATGCTACATTGTAGAGATACAGAGCTACGTTCATATTCCTAAAACTTCTCACCGAACATTTCTGAAATATGTATCAAGATTTAACATCAAAATTTCTGGAAACTTCAGTTTAGTGTACATATGTATATTAAACCACATACATATGTATACATTTTCAAATACACATGTATATTAAGCAATATACATATGTATACTGAAATAATGTATACTAAAATAACATATGTATATGAAGCGATATAAGTGAGTTCAGCTACACCGAATAAATGAATATTACCCTCGTATATTTTTATACAGTTTACGCATCGATATTTTCTTATCTCTTGTCTTTTCATTCCACACTTTTATTCATTTCTACAATATTTTCGTTATATTTTGTTGTCACATTTCAAACTATCAAACATACTCCGTAGTTGAATCGTACAACCTTCCGCCCACGAAAAACGTTACATGGAAAAGAATGATAAAAACGGCAACTCCATATACAACTCAAGTTACACGAAGGTAAAATTTTTTCACCGAATAATTGGAACGAGGCCAGTTTTATGTAAAAGGCGCTGCTTGCGTAATTTCTCAATTCTGCACGCAGTTCTGCGTTTCTTGGCCACGAGTCCCGTGCCCAATTTGCATCGGGTTTCTTTCGTCACCGAAAAGTACTATAAATCTGCGAAGGGGGACTCGAGAATCCGATCTCGCTAGATCACCATCTGCTTAGCGCGTCCAGCGTACGGCTCGTTAATTCTGGTGCGAACAGGTAAAATTTACGCGCAATTTGTTGGCAGCGATTCGCCGGCAACAGCCGCGGCCCGACGTTCCCGTTGCATGAGTGCGAACGCTATTTCGGACGCTAATTATCGCTCGGCCTGCCAAACGGCGCGTTTTTCTTCCGGCGCGCTCGCTCGCGACGAGTCGCGTATTTCCAATTAACGGGACGGCGCGCGTCCACGTTTTTAGACCGAAGTTAGCGGAAAACTCAACTAGCCCACTTAATCAACTGCACAGTGGTTTTAATTAGTTCCCTTATCGAACGACTCCCGAAAAAATCATTATCTTGAGTGCACACGGAGAGAATCTTGTCTTAAAGTTTATCCTGAAAATTATCTAATCTTGGGACAACAGGGCATTTAAAAGAATTTTACGAGTTTTTTTAAATTTGATATTTTACTAGTAAAGTAAATAAGTATAATCACTAGTGAAATGTGTATGGTAAAATTTAAAAAAAAAAAAATTCGTAAAATTCTTTGAAATGCCGTGTCGTCCCACGATTATATAATTTTTAGGATAAATTTTAAAAGAACATTCTCTCCGTGTAAGATTACTATTGAAGGATTTAAGAAGTTTAAAGCGGAAAAAATTAAGCTTTTTGGAAATCCTAGGATCCACACGTTCAAGATACTTGGTTTGATTTATGAAAAACAAAACTCGATTAGGAGAAAGTCCTTTCTGACAATAAGTTTACGTTCCACACGGAGAGATTTTTTTAAAATTTACCTGACATTTCTGATAATTTTGCGAGTTTTACTAGGCACTTTAGTAAAATTTCAACAAACTCTCATAAAATTCTTCAAAATTCCACGTTGTCCCACGATTACATGATTTTCAGGGTATATTTTAAAAGAAAACTCCGCGTGTAGATCAACGCAGCTAATACGTCGATTGCGTTTGCGAAAATATTAGCGGAGATAACTATGATTACAGGCTCGAGCATGCCTGCGCGTTTCGCCAACAGTTAGGCTAATAGCTGAAATGTTGAAGTTAACAGATGGGAAAATGTAATAGTCCGTTCGCTCTCGGACGAAACGCAGTCGCCGTCGGACAGAAAAGCGCCGTCGTAATGCGGACGGGCTGCTGTATACTCCAACACCAACGGGCTCTAAATAAGCTCGTTAAATCGTAAACTCAGTTACCTCTAAGATGAACCCGTAACTTAACCCCTCGCAACCCGAAAAGACTTTTATTGCGGCGCTAATAACCGCGAGACGGTTTGATTCGCTAAATCGAGTTCTCTGCGACGACGCACGACGAAGTGCGTGTCGTTTCTCAAGTTACCAGATACACGGACAATAATTGGAATTAAACTGTTAAGCGTAACAATAATTTTCAACTGAGTAGATAAGGTCGGTAAATAAACGGAGAGGAACGCGAAAAGAACCAAGGCGAAAATTCAAGATTCACAATAGCAACTTAACAGTCGGACGTTTAACTCGTTTCTTTCATCACAGGTCCACTTATAGACTGATCTCTTTCGCAAGGTCGTATCTCCATGTGAAACAATTTCCGGTTTTTCTGTTTGAACGCTCGTTCTGGTCCTAAATGATTGTTTAAGCAGAGAAACCGAAAATTGCGTGACATCGAGGAACATTGCTGGGACGTTTCTCAATGTTGCATAACAAAAACAAAATATAATACAACACGTGTTAACCGAGGGGCAAAGGCATTGTGGTGTACAGATTTGCGGCATTACCGGGCATTACTAAGCATTTTTGGGCATTCACGGGAAGAAAAATGTAGCTGCCGTAACTAAAGACCTACATGTGGCACCTAAATTTCAGCTATAAAATATGGACAGCTATTATTTAGCTGTGATAGATATTTTGTTACTGTGCCTATTGTATTAGGTGCGACAGTAAAAAAGGTTTGCTGTGGTTTAGAAATTTATACACTGAGAAAAATTTCCGTCGGATAAACCAATTAAATAGTGTTTCCGACGGTTACTTTTTCCGATTACGTTTTCCAATTACATTATGGATCCATCCGATGAAATTTATCCGACGAAGTGCACCGATGAAATTTGATCGAAAAATCGATCACATCCGATTTAATCGGATATATCCGTTTGTTATTATGTAATTGGATTATCCGATTATATTTAATCGTACATTTTTCTCAGTGTAGTTACGACGGCAAAATACCTTTAGCAAACCATGATTAGCCACGGTAGCGAAAATTTTTTTTTCAGGCCCCTTGCTGAGGGCATTATAGAGATAAAATAAGATGAAACAGGATAAATGAGATAAAATACAAACAGCAAGATTTAAATCTTGGAAAATAGGATAATAAGATAAATTAATGCCCGCCGGGCATTGTTAGTGGGCATTGTTGTACACGATTTTCATCAGCGGTTTACTCCTGGGTCTTACACAAAGTGTAAACAACTTCGCCGACGGTCGCTATATATTTTTTCCGCGTAATCATCAACTTTTCCGCGCGAAACTGCGCCCAATTCGCGCGGAGGAGAGTCTGCGAAGACGAAACTTCCGTTAAGGGGACGCTGGAGTGACTTCGGCACCTTTTGCATTTAACACTGTCTGTTTCGTAGAAACATTTGTGTAATGCGCGAGTAAAATGGCTCACGTGTACGGATCGAAAGCAGCTTGCTATTCCGGCTAAATTAAAGAAGAACGTGGCATCACATAAGTTTATAAGTCCAATAAGAAATAATAGTGAGCCACGTGCTACATGTACTGTATGTTGCTCACTATTGTTTCTTATTAGACTCACAAACTTAATTTCAGTGATGCCATACCGTTCCTTAATTTAACCGGAACGGCAAGCTGCTTTCGATCTGCACACGTGAGCCATTTAATTTGTGTATCACACGAATGTTTCCACGAAACAGACAGTTTCAAGCGCAAAAGGTGCAAAACTCCAGCCGTCCTCTGACTCACTGCGCGGGAGACGGCCAGTTGCAGTGAAAACGAAGATAAACGAATCTCACCGAGCACCTTTTCGTAGCCCGATCGGACGAAATTAGGGAGCTGTCTTCGTGACGGACTACATTACGACGTACTTACGACACCGTGAGGATACGATTAAATTGTTTTACGACGATGCTGCAAAGTGCGTTCCACCGTTTACGACCATCGTCGCTGCCGGCAGCGACGCGCGAAACGAGCCGCGTTCGCGTTTATCACTCCAGAAGCGTCTGACGTTTCCATCGGTGTGCACCTTCGTTTCTACACCGCGTTCCCCGTTCGCGACAGTTTACTCTTCTCGCGCTTTCCCATTGTCGCGCCGCGCCACGGAAATGTCGGGAACAGGCCACGAGTGTCTCGCGTTCGAGAGGATAATCGACGCTGACGCCTCCATCTTGTAGTCGAGGGGCGCAAAAATTCACAAAATGTCGATTGACAACCGAAAAGAGTGCAGTCGCATTTCCCCCTCGAAACGACATTTCACAATCCGATGACATGGCAGCAAAACTCCAAGCAACTAAAGACTTCCTGTTTGTCAACGCTTTTATCTTATCGTTCAGCTAGCGCGTTCGTTGTGTCGGGCTGTCCGGCTGATTATTATCGATGAGCAACGAATCATCCTAATCGCGCAAATCAGGCTGCTCCGAAAACGATTCTCGCCTCCGCTCTTCAAGAGCCCCACCGTCTGCCATAATAGCGCAGTGGTAGCTTCTTTACCTTTTCAAAAAGAAAAACCAGCGTCTTCTACCAAAAACGACTCGACGCAGTATTCAATTTTGTGAATCTTACGCCTTACGACAGCGCGTAGAAATGACGGGCGCTTTGCTGTCCGCGGCGAAAGACGCGCGCCTACTTCGATGACGAAAAGGCGACTTTTCGTATCAATTAAAAGACAAAGGGACTCACCTGTCAGCAGCGATTCAGATCCAGATCCGTCGAATTCCGCGTGGTCGGACAAGTACATTTGCCTGCAAACAGAATCGACGCCACCCTGCAGGTGGTAATGCCCGAAGGTCGAAACCCTGGGCGCCATGATGGCCGCGATGCTGAAGTCCGTCGCTTTTCCCCTCTCCCCCTTCGTAGGCATCCCTCCTTGCACGACGACACTTACTCGTACGCGTCCCGGCGGTCTCGTTACTCCGATCTTCTTGATCGATCGGCGCTTCCTCTCGTCTCACCGTTTGGCCTCTCCTCTGCCTCGAGAGAAATGGAGAGAACCACCAGAGCCTCACCACGGGCCAGGCTTGTCAAGTCTCTTCCGCGTTCCTGCCTCTCTTTCTCTGTCACCAGGCGCTCCTCATCGACATTACCGCTCGCGGCAGCCAGAGAGGCGCGTCTCCGCGAGTATCCCGTTACCGCGCGGAGGATTTGCCCGCGAGTTCGACCACTGTTTCCACGACCTGGCTGCGAAAAAAAACGCTCACGCTTCCGCTGCGGGCGTCGTCGCCGTCGGTCACCGATCGCTGGACCCTTGCGAGGAACGTAACGGCGCACAACGCGTCTGCGCTGCTCGGCTTCCCGGACTCCACTGGCTGGCCGCTCCTCCTCCCACGCGCCGGCGACTGCCCCACCACCGGGCGTCGGGAGGCACGGCGGCGCCGCGCAGCGTGGAGATCTGCGCGCGCAGTATCGATCGGTCTCGGTGGGCGGGGCGGCGGAGGCCGGCAACCGACGCTCGGCCAATCGCGCCCTCTCTCTTCCCTCGGCCCCGTCGAACCGCCGCACGAGCCGTGGGGTCTCGTGACGCGGCGAGGGCGGCGCGCGAGGGACGTCGCTTCTCCTCGCTTGCCACACCCTGCGGAAGCGGCGGCGAGGACACCGCCGCCGCCAACCACCACCGCCACCCACCACCGCGACCACCCACCACCACCACCGCCGCCGCCGCCGCCACCCCTACCATCACCACCGCCACCACCACCGAAGCGGGAGTCGAGACCCGACATCGAAGCCTCCCCACTAGCTGACGACGGCTACGTGGGTATCTCGAAGTGGCGTGGCAGCGACACGGTGGCCGCGCAACGACGAAAGGGAGATCGATCGACCTCTCGCGCCGGATGGCCGGCGTTCATACGTATCTACGTATGCACCTCCGCCGCGCTCTCGCAGTGGCGTAGCGCGCGGAGCTGGCGAGGAGAGCAAGAATTGCACGACTCCGCTTGTCTCTTGATTAACGCGAGCACCTAAACCACCGTGCGCGCGCACGCACGATGCTCTCTAATTACATGATTCACCCTACCGGAGTGAGAGACGAAGATCGGAGAGGGGACGGGAACGCGCTTTACTTGATGATCGTTGTAACCCTGGATCGTCGTGTTGCATAACGAGTGCTTCAAACTGTTATCCTGTCGAGCATGAAAATTGATTCGCGCGCGAGATACGGGGCGGGCGTAGGAGCTCGTTTGAGGAGAATTGAGTCTGTGAGTCCTAAGGCCGGTATTCATAGTCGATTCTTATTTCAAAATCATCTTAAGTGTTGTCTTAAGACGCTAATACGGCTCTGTGATTGGTTGAAAACACATTAAGAGTATACTTAAGGTAATCTTAAATATAAGAACGGACTACGAATATCGGCCTGAGGCCTGTATCTACGATGCTAGAACTTGGCCTAACCTGAGTAGAAATGAAATTAGGCATGCCTTATGTATGATCAGGGCCTGATAGGGAGGAAGCAAGGAATGCCCTAATAAATTCCTGACATGTGCCTGATCCGGTGCGCCTGATTCCCTCGTAGAATTTGATAAACGTTAACCTGAATGTATAGCACTAGTACCACTCACTGCCGCAATGTGGCGACCGCGTGTTAGTCTTTCTCGTAAAAATCATCTCGTATTACTATAAGAGACGAGCCGATATGGTCCGTTAGCGAGTTGTCTGGATCATAGATAAGCTTCGATGACCTGAATATACTTTTGATGACTATATGTATAATGTAGCGTAATTAAAAAATTGGTTTAAACATTAAACTTTTTTAATAGGAGCCTACTGATGCCCTACTACCTCCTTATTAGAAATTGTAAGCCGTAACAAGTGGCAAGTCATGAGGTCTCGATAAGGAAAACCTGATCAGGCAATTTTTATTCTCGATTACATTTACGATGGCCCCATCATCAGACAAGGGCTGTCTGATGAGTGCCTGATCAGGCATTAAGGCATCCTTATTAGGCCTCTACCAGGACCCGACTAAAATTTCTGCTCGGAAAGATCTAGTTCCGAGAAATGTGTGGCCAATCGACTTGCAGCTTTTATGGAAGAGCTGCAAGTTGATTGGCTACACATTTCTCGAGACTGGAACACGGATCCAAGTTGTAGCATCGTGGACACGGGTCTTCATTGAGACTCTCGGCGCGAGTGCAGCTCGACGCGACGTTACACCTCTCGAGACGGAGGGTATTTCCGCGTTGATTTTCCTGGAGTGGGCAGCGATAGCGCCAAGAGAATTTATTTAAGCGGAAAAGCAGAAATACGACGGGAAATGCAGCGCCGGCGCACGTAACGCGTAGCTAAAAGCTTTTCGCAAGCGGTTCCGGGAAACGAGGAGGGTTTGTGCCGAGAATAATCATGAGGACCTGCCGGGCGGTGTAACACGTCGACAGTGCGCAATCCGTTTACGCCTGCAGTTCTGCGCTGTAATTTGCGCGAAAAAGATGGTATCTTTGGAAAGTGTCGCTTGGACACCGCGCGGCATAATACGCGCGTCTCCGCCGTAGTTTTTTGTTTGACGCCAACCTACGCGTGTTCCATCGTTACGCCGGGATTACGTCGACCTTCCCATCACCTGCGACATGATTGATAATGCCCTCATCGCGATTTCGATCTTCTAAACTAGACTTCTAGAGTGCTGCGAGACCAAATCCTGTCCCTACACTAAATATATTTAGTCACGTGTGCTATTTAGTTACTTTTAACATTAGAACTATAGTAGAAAAATTGTTAAACGACACCAACTGGCAAATTCTAATTAACGGACCGTCTACATTGGATTAAGCAGTAAGAAGAACTGAAGTAGGAGTAAGAAGTGGAAATGATTAATTTCTTTACTCCTACTCTTACTTCTTACGCCAGGCTTACGATCCTTAAAGAAAAATGCGAAAAATATTACCTCCGCCAGGGTTTGAACCTGGACTTCTCTACACTCCAGGCGGGCGTCTCGCACCATTTCGACCACTGAGGTATGCATGTGAGAAGCCCGCCTAGAGTGTCGGGAAGTCCAGCTTCAAACCCAGGTTAAGGTAATATTTTACGCAATAAATTTCTTTAATTAGAATTTGCCAGTTAGTGTCGTTTAACCATTTTTCTACATTAGTTAATCATGTACGGGCGTTAAATAATTCTTCACGTTAGAACTGTGTATAAATATAATAGAAGAAAGTCCTCTATTATGAGATAGGATCTTAATATGGGATAGCGGGGTTTCTATTAAATTAATATGCATCATCGGTTAATGCCACCATGAGTTTAGTGCCGTTGGAGCGAAATCTGTTTAGAAAATTTACGGTTAAATTGTATAATCGTTGCGAAAAAAGATTTGCGGTTGAATTTGGGTGTTGAAAACCTGATGCTATCTCTCATATTAGAAACCTATCTCAAGGTTTCAAAACCTTCTTCTTTGAGGAAAATTTTAGTCGATGGTAATTCCGAAATATTCGTATTAGCATTTGTGAATATGAAAAATTGACGACGAACATGTTACTAACGACACTGTGGACATTTCGCTACGTCAGAAGTTGATGGTCTCCGCCCCAGTGTTTTGCGGTGAATTTTTACTCGGGGCACATACCGCGGAGCTGTAAAACGCGATCGAGTTCCGCGAAGCATTATCGTCATCAGGAACGAGGGAACGAAACGGGGTGGAGGGACGGAAAGTTAGACGTTACGGCGAACGGTAATAAAACCGTCGAAGACGCGATGGGGACCGTTAGTGGCTGCGTCTGCGACCGTCTCTGGTGCATCTCGATCGATCAAAACGCCACAAAGTGGGCCTCAACGAGACAATTTCGACCCGGTCGGCGGGTTACGTTCGTAGATCGGCGAGAGGACCGGCGAGACGAGCAGAGAGAAACAGAGAGAGAGAGAGAGAGAGAGGGGGGAGGGGGGAAGATTTACGGTATGTGTTTAGGCACTTAGGCGCTTTGCCTAGTCCCTTTATTATACTAATTTCTCGGGCATGTCAAAATATCTATCGCGTATACACCCGAGCCTTCCGAATTCTATTCGACACGCTGGGTGCCCCCGTAGTCGAGCAGCACATAAAAGGCCCCCTAAAAGCGTAAAATATGAAGCGGCCGGACGGACCGCTCTCTCGGTCCCTCTTCCTTCATCCTTCAGGATTTCAGGTAGCCTTCGGGTGGGGTGAAGCCTAGCTCACGCGCTCGCGCGCAAGTCGTCAAGTTGTCCCTCCGGTGAACCGCAGGAACAGGCCAGTTCTCCGGAACAATCCCCTCTGACCCGCTTCTTCCTCGTGCCACGAAGCGGCCTGACTTTCGAATGGTGTGTGTCTTTCGAAGCGGCTGCCGAGACGTGTCACCGTCGTCTTTCACCGTCGTCACCCGTGGCGAAGTCTACCATTATCTAACGGACTACTGTATCCACTTAACTACGCATTCGGGAGTCGTGTGGATTCACATTGAGAACGCACTGTTAATCGGACATTACAACCGTGCGGTTACATCCAATAATGGATTCAGGTAGATCTTTTCGTGGGACATTGAATTTCGTCACGCGTGAATACCGTATGTAGACATAACGCGTAACATCGTCTCCCTAAATTCGAATGACATTACTGTTTTTATTTCAGATGTCGGAATAAATTACACTAGTATTGTCAGAGTAAATTACATATCGGTAATATTAATACGCTGATGGATAGCGATTTTAAATGATATAAAATATGCCCTCTACTAATTTCGCAATAGCTTGCCCAGCGAAATGTACGGCGAACGGCGTCGATTTTCCTTCCCTCCAATTTCACCGCGAAAGGTAGAACAATTGCATTGACGTTTGCAATCTCGGTCGAATTTTCAAAAATTTCCTTTCTCCCGACAAACAATTTTCCCGAGCGCGGCGGTGAGTCGGTCGCTTCTACGCCGGTTGTTGCTCGCGGCAACCGGCTGGGACGGCGGCAACAGCAGCAGCTCGGATGCAAATTGCATCTCGACGGTTCGCGGGTGGGAAAAATAAACGAGAAATAAAACGAGCGCGCCAGCGGGGCAGAGAGGAGGCGAGCGAAACCCACCGGAGCGAGGCTGCTCGATGACGGGGTCGGGGGATGCGAGAGGGGAAGGTGTATCATGGACGGAACGGCGCGAAGGGAGGGACAGGGAGGAGAGGGCGAACGAGCGCGTTGGCCGAAGGTGGACGCGGAGGGCCGGTAGGGCCACGACAGGGTGCGAGTCGCGTAGGGAAGAGGGTCGCGGGGTACGCGGGGATCATTCATCATCCGAGGAGAAGAGAGGCCTGCGCGAACACACCACCGTACCGCATCGCACGGCCGATGGTGGTGGGAAGGCTGCGGCGTTGGAGGAGGCGGCAGGCCACCCACGCGGAACGATCGGGTTCGGTGGCGGTCCTGAAGCCGAGTACACCGACACCAGCGAGACTGATCTTATCGCGGTTCTCTACGTACGGCTGGCGCCGCGGCCAGGTGATCGGCGTGTTACGCGACGGCCGCGTTAGGCCTCTGATAAATTATTTTACAACTTTTGCGTTATCGTGGAGGCCGCGCACGAGCCGTAATTCAGGACGGTAACTGAGACTCCGTATTGGCCGCACCGTCGCCCGACGAGCACGGGCTCGAATCAAATTATTAATAGTCGATATACGTTTGTGCGATTGAGGAACACACACGCAGCATTACGGTAGAAATCCGCGATATAATTGATGTTAAAGATACGATAGGAAAAACTGTATAAAGCTAAGTCTCTTTATTGCATAGGAAAACTCCGAT